ATAATTTATTTTAACCCGCCTCCCTTTTTAGTCTTTTGGTCGAATATCCTGACTGTGTTTTCCAAAGTCCCTGTAGCAGATACAGCCACCTGGGGAAAAGGAGTCTAAGTTCTTATCTACACTTAGGAATCCTGGTTTAAGCTTCTCTTTGTCTGTAGGGGATAGAGTGGGGGGTTTTACTGAGGTATCACATGTTGACTTCTTTTTTCTTATGCCTCCTATCTCTTTCCTTCTTGTTCTTTCTCTTTCCCAAAAAAACTAAACTGTGGTGTGAGGTTGTGTTTGCTTCCCTGCTGGGCCAGCACTCTGTATGCTCTCCTGCTGCTGGGCTCTTTCTCATTAATGCCCATCTTTCCACTTCCTCACCCTCTTCTTTCTTCCCTCTCTCAGATGGTTCTGAGAGACAAAACAAAACAAACAAAAACCCCAAACCTTTTCATGTTTTAAAAAATTGTGGTAAAATATACATAAAATTGTTCTTTTAGCTAATCTTAAGTATACTGTTTTGTGACATTAAGTACATTTACATTCTTATGTAATCATCATTGTCTCAATATTTTTAAATAGATTGTTCATTTTCCCCATGTAATTTGAGGAAAATGGCAGAAACAACTATTGCATTAGAAATAATTCATGGACATAAGTTTTGATTGTGAATCCCCTTTAAAGCCCTGTTCTTTTCTCTCTCTTTCATGATGTCTCAGACAGAGAATGGGCTCCGGGACAATGACATCAAGCCAAGAGTCAGCGAGTGGGAAGTGATCCAAGAGTCAGGGACTAAGCTGAAGCCGATGTATGGACCAGGGTACACGGGCCTGAAGAACCTGGGGAACAGTTGCTACCTCAGCTCTGTCATGCAGGCCATCTTCAGCATCCCAGAGTTCCAGAGAGCGTAAGTGGGCCCCACTGCTGATAGGCCACTGTGCTGCCAGTCTCTCTGGGCTAGTCCATCCTGTGTGATGGGGAAACCCATTGCTATTGCCTTGGGGATTCTGCTGCATCCTCCTGAACCCCCGGGACAGTACCCTAGTACTACAGATGAGGTGAGAGGAAGAGTGCTTGGACACTGAGCAGCTCCACAGTCAGCCATCCTCATAGCACACCTGCCAGATCCTTTCTGTAGCTGGGCCAGTAGAGGGCTAGTGACCTGTGTGGTCAGCACTCATTCTCCAGAGGAGAGTTCTGTGGAGAACTTTAGGTTATTACTTTTTATTACTTGGAGTGTAGTTCCCAGATAGTGGCCTGGGCTGCTAGGTGTGAGTCTGCAGTAAGGAAAAAGTGGACATTGATCAAGCTCCTAGAGACTGCTGAAGTGATTTGATATCACTACATCTTATATGGGGCATGTCATATGTCCAGTTTGTTGGGTCTGGAGTCACACAATAATGGGGGACAGACCACCAAAGTCTATTATACCAGAAGCAAACTTTATTTCAGAAAAATAAAAATAAAAAGTTAAAATTAAAATAAAACACTGCAGAGCACAAAAGCTTATCAGCTAGCTGAGACCACAGCCAATGTTGGAATTCTGGAGCTGTGGCAATGGAGGTGGATACTGGCCCCCTTTTATAGTATCAGGCATTGGGTACATGCTAGGAGTCACACAGAAACATCAGGCATAAGGTACATGCTGGAAATCACGTAGAAACAACGATTAAAAGTTAACTTTGGTCCAGGCAGTTGTTGGCTATAAGGGGCAAGAGGGTTAAAAGTTCACCCCTGGCTGTTGACAGAGGAGCTGCTGTAAAGCAGACAGCCATTGTTAGCAGTTAACCTTTAGAGCTGATGACTGTCAGCTTTCATCTCTTAAGCTTATAATTTGATATTTTTATATTCCTGGACCCTTCATTCTCTCCTTGAGTTATATGAGAAGCACTTTTAGGTTTATATTTAGATATATTTAGATGACATCTAAAATAAATCTAGAATGTTGAACTTGTGACTGAACAGTAAGTAATCATTGTCTTACCAGCTTATTAGAACTCTATTAAATGTAAAACTCTGAACTGTTATATCATAGAACAGGAGAACAATCTGAAACATTTTTTTATAATCTAAGTTATTTATTTATATCTTTATAACTTATATTTATATTTATATCTTAACTTATATTTATATTATATTTATATCTTAAATCATTTTTTGAGATCCTCAAAGCTTATAAGCTTTTATATCCTCAGACCTTTTTCTAGACCCATATTTAAACCTTTATGATTTATTTAAACTTTTCTATCTTAGAACTTTCTCTTAAACATGAGCTAACAAGCTGGCTATAGATCTGGTTGTCTAATGCTGTCAAGCTGACAAAGTTATAGCTAGCCTAGCCATCAGTACTATCAGAGATCTGAGAAGGATAAATTATATCTGAGTGCAGACCAAGCAGCTTCCAATTCTATAAATGACAGAGACCAGTCCATACCCAGATCTCCATAGTGTTGGAATCACAAGTATCAGAACATCATCATCTTCTTCGCTCATCAGGCCCATAAAGCAGTTTTTTCCTGTGGAATAGGGAAACGGAAGACTGATCTTACTTTGTCCAGACAAAAGGGTGCAATCAATTCCAGTGTCATGCTGCTTGTCCACAGTCTGGGCTGGGCCCTAGGGGCAGGCGTTGCATTGTGGCATCTTGCCCTGTGGTCTGTGTTGCCATAATCCAGGCAGAGACGTTGTGGTACCCCATATGTAGGCTTCTTTGGAGACCTTTGGTCACTGCTAGGGTCTGGGGGTCTGTCTGATAGAATAAGCTTTTAGATCAATGCTTAAATGCCATATTCTGCAGATCTCTGAAGTATGAGGGCTGTCCAGGTATATCTGAATAGACAAACTTTGTTTCTATCTTGAAAATGTATGCAAGGGACTAAGTAAAGCTTATCCCTATAAATAATCACATTAGTACTTACCATGACCACAATTAAAGAACTTGATTATTTATGATTGTTTATTTAGTTGTTTTCTAACAGTCTACAATAAGTAGCCTTAAAAACAATGATTTTGAAATGAATCTTTTCTAGTATCAAATACAGGTTCAGTAAAGAAACCAAAGCAAAATACCGGTATAACAACATTAATATAACTCAGTTAATCTAAATAGCTTAAGTTTAACAAATTTAGCAAAGACAAGGAGCTAGACAACATTCTTAGGCCTGAATGTACCTTGGGTAAGGAGAACATTTTCCAAATCAATGGTTTTCAACTTTTTCAATGCTATGTTATAACTGTAGTTTTGCCATTGTTGAATCTCAGTGCAAACATCTGACATACAGGTGGTCCTAGGCCACCCCTGTAAAAGGCTTTTTGTTTGTTTGTTTGAATCCTTGAAGGGTCTAGACTCATGGAGTCCCTTTGTCTACGTTGTTGTTGTCTTACTGCATCGTAAGAAATGAACATCCCAGTTTCTGGTTAGTATTTGGTATTCATGGCTGTGACTTAAGTTTTAGTTTTTTATTTTAAGCCCAAATACTAACAATATAGAGCATTTTATAAGCTGAAAATGTCCCATAGCCTTATAAACTTAAATATTTTAAAAACTGTTCTTAAAAAGATTAAGATCTCTCGCCGGGCGTTGGTGGCGCACGCCTTTAATCCCAGCACTCGGGAGGCAGAGGCAGGCGGATCTTTGTGAGTTCGAGGCCAGCCTGGGCTACCAAGTGAGTTCCAGGAAAGGCGCAAAGCTACACAGAGAAACCCTGTCTCGAAAAACCAAAAAAAAAAAAAAAGATTAAGATCTCTCAAATGTCTTTTTGCAATATTAAAAAAAAAACCTTTTTTTAAATTTTTTTATTTTTTTTACTTAAAGAAGGGGAGAACATGGCATAACCATACATAATCTGTATAAAGTAAAACCAAGCTCCAGAGTGCAAACAATCTCAAAGTCCAATATCTGGGATTCATTTCTAATTCTTTTGGTTCTTTTACTTAGAGGTGTGGATCATTTTTTGGCCCTAGCATTTCTAACACTGTTGAGATCCGTCATTGCACCTGGACTCTCTTTGGCACTCTAGCCCTGCCATGTATTTGTAATCCTTAGTTGTTGTTTTTTTTTTTATGATCCTTTATGTTTTTTAAACCATTATCATCTTATCATCTTATCATCTGCGTGACTCTTAAATTACAAAGTTTAGCTGTCAGAGCAAGGTACTTTTTTTTTGTATAAAAGCATTGAGGTGCAGCTTTAATATTTATCAAGTACTTTATTTATTAGACATATGTAGCCATTTATTTAAATTTTCTAGAAGCTTGTTGTTGAACATTTGGCAATGACATAAATATTTAGGTGTAAATCTCTACGTCAGCCTTTGTTAATCTGAATAGATCTTTATAACCTTAGTAAAAGATGGCTGCCCAAAGCCACGTGGTTGTTTAAAACATGTTTTTTTAAAACAAAAATTATATGTACATATATGCATACAGTGTTCTGTTTGTATGCATGTCTGCACACCAGAAGAGGGCACCAGATCTCATTATAGATGGTTGTGAGCCACCATGTGGTTGCTGGGAATTGAACTCGGGACCTCTGGAAGAGCAGTCAGTGCTCTTAACCTCTGAGCCATCTCTCCAGCCTGTGTACATATATGTATATATCTCTATGTTTAACATACACATTTTGTAGTGAAGAATCATTAGCTATTTTTAAAAAGAAGAAAATCAACCAGAATTAACCTAATATGGTCAAATTTTAAATTCAGTATTTGTAGGTATGAGAAACCATAACCAACATAGTTTATATCCCCTCTGGCCTTTTTTGTTGTTGTTGTTGTTTTCCACACAACATAGAAATTTTTACCAAAATCTTTCTTGTGGTTTCACTCAGTAGTCTACAATATATTGTATGGTTACAATATTTTAGATAGGAACAGAAATATATGCATATACCATAACAAGACTAATTTTAAATTTGTATTAACATTGTACTAATGTGAAACATCTGAAACCAGCAGTAGTTTTTTTAAAAATAATAATTGGATCTAAATTTATAAGCATATATATGTATAATTAAATACAGTTCATATATATATAATTAAGTTTAAGCCATATATGTGCATATATATCTTAAACAAGAGTCGAATTAAATATATATAACCATGTATGGAACTTTAATTATAAGCCCTTTGTCATAAGCTTAAGGCCAAATTTTGTTATAAATTATATGGATTTAAATCATATTTCAAAAGCAATTTATAAATCTTGAGATATGAGTGTATAGTATAAATTTAAAATATTATTCTTATTATTTACCTTTATTATATCAGACCTAAGGACCAGAGCATCCAGAGGTACATTTTAAGTTTGGGCAGCAAATAAGGGCTGCAGCCAGTATATAGTGAACAAAGTTGACATGGACATTTAGAAATAAGCATTTAGTGGCCACCTTCACGCATTCAAACCAGACAAAACTTTTCTTACTTTCCTCAGCTGAGTTTTTAGGGGTGGGGGGAGGCGGCAGGGTGTTCCTGCTTCCCTGAGAGATCATCCAGGAGAAGCACTGGCTGGCAGTGGCCCCCGAGGTGCCTGGCCTCATAGTCTCCTTTGTCCTCCCCTGCTGGGCGCCTCCTCCTTGGTATTCCGGGACTGTGGTACCTGCAGTGGGGAGGGGCAATCTTCTTCCTGGCTGCAGGCTGCTCCCAAGACTGGAGCAAGCTCTACTGCCTTGGGAATCCTGGACTCCTGAGGCAGCAAAGGGCAGGGAAGGGTGGCAAAAACCCCCTTTACGTTCCTGACATCCTGGAAATGAGAAAACACAGCCTGAAAGGGGCCTGAGGCTAGAGGACCTTGGCCCAGGGTAAACATTAATTTACTGACAGTCATCACAAAGAGACTGACCACAGGTGACAGGACAAACAGAACAGAGGAGACATTCACAAGGCAGAATGCTGTGCTCAGGGACCTCGGAATGCCAACCAGTCCGGAAGGGCTGCAGATAAGCAACCGAATGGCCACAAGAGGGTTTGGAGCATCCTCCTTCCCCTCCAGCTCAGAGGTCACTGGTGTGTCCACCTACTCTTACTGAGCTCCAGTCTCTCCTGACACCAGAAACCAGAACCAGAAACCTACTGATGGGCCAAAACCAGTAGAAAAGCTTGCCAGAGACTTGGGGTGCCCCCTGTCCAGAATCAGTATTTCTAGAGTTCCCCATACCGGCCACCAAAATGTTGGGTCTGGGGTCACACAATAATGGGGGACAGACCACCAAAGTCTATTAAACCAGAAGCAAACTTTATTCCAGAAAAATAAAAAATAAAAATTAAAATTAAAACACTGCAGGGCATAAAAGCTTATCAGCTAGCTGAGGCCACAGCCAATGTAGGAATTCTGGGGCTGTGGCAATGGAGGGGGGTACCAGCCCCCTTTTATAGTATCAGGCATGGGGTGCATGCTAGGAGTCACGTAGAAACAACTATTAAAAGTTAACTTTGGTCCAGGCAGTTGCTGGCTATAAGGGGGAAGGGGGTTAACAGTTAACTCCTGGCTGTTGACAGAGTTGCTGGCTGTAAAGGAGACAGCCATTGTTAGAAGTTAACCTTTAGAGCTGATGACTGTCAGCTTTTATTTGTTAAGCTTATAATTTTATATTTCTATATTCCTGGGCCCTTCACAATTGTTTTTATGATAGCTATCATGTATCTGAGTTGGAAAATTTGACTCTTCAGGCAGACTCTCTGGGCACACCGATTTAGGGGGCTTCCTAATTCCACAGGTACAAGGTAGCCTGTAGCTAGAGTTTTTCGGCCTTGCCCACAGTCAGGACAAATCTTTGTCACCTGCCAGTCCCACAGCCGCTCAGACCCAACCAAGTAAACACAGAGACTTATATTGCTTACAAACTGTATGGCCGTGGCAG